GTGTAAAGTTCATAAGCATAATATTTATCAACAAGAAATAATAAGATTAAACGGGATGAACCACTTGCACCTCGAAATCCTACCTCGATGGATAAGAAGAATTGTTGGAAGAATAGCAATTACTTCACGTTCCCAAAGCCTTATCTCTATTGCCGTGTCTATAAGTGTATTTTGTCCGGTAAAAAATATCATCCCTCTATTAATTCCAACTTAATGTTCTTATTTAAGGTATAGAATAATCATTCCATGTAAATATCCACGTGAGCCACCTAAAATTCTTCTATCACAGTAAATGGACACTCAATTGCTGTAAAATGGCCTAAAGTTACTCAATCATTCAATTTTATAAAGGCACACGTGTTTGACAACTAATGAATTCCAAAAAGGTCAACTTAGTTAATTTTATAATAAAGGACATTCTTTGAACTTTATATTTTTGGGCCTAACTATTTTGATTAACCTTTTTTTTTTTTTGGTTAAAAATTTCTAATTAATTACAAGTTACAAAAAGAGTCTAATATTGGTATACTAAAACTTGCTCCATTAAATCTAATTATTTGACTCAAAGAAATGAGAATTTAAAACAATTAATTCTATTCTATAAAATTTTTCAGGGCTTTACAGTTTAGATTTGGTTCTCATCCCTGAAAAGATTCATGCATGTAGGCTGTACAAGTACAGATAACTATTTTCACATTCTTCTGATGGTTGTGCTTGTTTTCCTAATGCTTTGATCAGGAAGAAGAACAGCGGTTGAGAAAAGTGGCGGTTAATATTTCTAAGGATGTAAAGAAATTTTGGACAAAAATAGAGAAGCTGGCAAGTTATTTAGTTTAATTGCTTTTTATAACTTCCAAGTCCGTCACGATCACTACCTTCTGAGAATGAAATTTTTTCTATATGTGGTTGTTGCAGGTCCTGTACAAGCATCAACTAGAGCTTGATGAAAAGAAGAAAGAAGCACTTGATAAGCAGCTGGAGTTTCTTCTAGGGCAAACTGAAAGGTTAAATGATGTTCTCTGGAATCTATTTCATGTAGTTATGGTACCTAGAGAACAGTATTAGCTGTGTATCACATGAAGTTATTTTGAACAACATAATTAACTTTACATTCTTTCTTTATCTCTTTTTGTAAATAACACTCTTTATTTTCGCAATTCTACTAGGTACTCAACAATGCTGGCAGAGAACCTTGTAAACTCACCAACTCCTCGGAAACCAATCAACTCATACTGTACTCAAGAGCAATTGAGTATTCAATGGAAAGAAGGGGGTGAGGATGGTAGTAATAAGACAACTGATTCAAACACTGGTAAGAAAATGGTGAATTTGTTCCATTTGGTTTATTTTACTGTTTGTGGAAATTTGGATTTTCCCTTATTTGAACTGAC